TGGCGCGAGCGCTTCGCCGAGGGCGCCGGTTGGACGTCGTCGGGCGCGGGGCGCGAGGCCCCGACTGTCGACGAAGACATCGGGGGCGCCGCCAGGCGTTGGCTCACCACCGCAAGGACGTCCTGTACGGAGCGCAACTTTGCGTGATGCTCGGCACGCTCGCGCGTCGCCGCGGCAGAGGATTCCTGTAACACCGCGACGGTCTTCTCGAGCTGCCGAACCCGGAGCATCCAATCGCGCGCCTGCAGTAGCGCCGCCTCGACCGAGGAGGGGGCGTCCGCCCCCTCAAAGGAGCAAGCATACTGCAGTGCCGCGAGCGCGGCCTCCTCCCGGAGGCGCTCCGGGGGAACTCGACCGAGCGGTTGACTTGTGGGAGGTTTCGGCATCGTTGCTGGTCGCGATACGGTTTCGGCCCCGGTCACCGCGCTTATATGCTGAGTGACTGGGGGTGGGTCCGAAAATCCCGCCTTACCGACCGGACGCCTTAAGTCGCGCCGCTCCTGAGCGACCCCCTTTGGCGAGTCGCTCTAGATGGAGCCCACACGAGTGGACCCTTCGGGAGCGGGTAGCGCGGGCGTAGCGACAGGCGCCACCGTATCGGCAGCGATCGCGAGCGAGGACCCACCACCGTCATCGGCCGGTGCCTCGTAAACGCCTTCCGCTTCAACGGTTCCGTATGCCGCGTCGTCGCCGACCGCGCCCGCTTCGTCGCTGACCCAAGGCGGCATGTCTAACGCGCAGCCGCGGGCCCAGCTGAACCATACGAAGCCCGGCCGGCCGGTCCAGTCCAGACTTGCCGTGAAGGTCAGTAGCTGTTCCGCGCGCGCCGCGTCGTACGCGGTACCGTCGAGGATTTCCTTGACGCCGACCGAACGGATGAGGGCAATCAGCCCCACCGAGAGGCGGAAGAGCACGCCGCGCTCACCGAGCGGCTCGTCTCGCCTCGCAGCCAACCGGGGGTCGGGGCACCTCGTGAAGAACGGCAACCCCTCGCGGGCAGCCCGAAGGAAGCACAACAACGCGAGCACCGCCCATTCGGACAAGACGATCGCTCGCACAAGCGTGCGCGTACGTTCCGTTTCGGCTGACTCCGCTCGACCGCGCGGCAACCAATGCGCCGCGACGTAGGCCATCGCACTCGGCGTCGGCACGCAAAGGTGCTCCGGTGCCTCGAGGTCCGGCCAGTCTGGAGGGAGCGAAGGATACAGGCCTCGCCGCGCTGCGCTGGGCACTGAGAAAAACTCGGTGTTGTGCCACATGTGGAAGAAGTCATCTGCACGGCGCCAGCGCAGCCGACTCTCCCGCGCAGCGTCCTCGCCCCACCGGCCGCGGTCCGCGATGCTGTACCAGTTGTCGAAAGGGCGCGGGAAGGCCACCAAGCGGATGTCCGGCACGACGCCATCGTAGCGCCTGTACCGACCGAATAGGTTGAGGAGCGTGACGTGGTACCGCTCCTCGCCACCGCACCGGACGTAGAGCAAGTCGCTGCCACTCGCGGCGGGTGTACGGCACGGCACGTGTCGCCATCGGGCCTGCCAAGCGCCCGCTCGATTCTGCTGCGCCACGCTACCCCGCCCGGACGGAGTCACGATGGCATGATTCGCAGGGACTGCCTGGAATCACGCCGAGTCCAAGAGGCGGCGCTGCACGTATTCGTCGACCGTCATCGGAGGCTTGCGACCGGAAGCGCGTCGCCGGGCTCGCCGCCGCCGGTGGTCCATCGAGGACCCGGGCAGCAGCGACCGGACGGACTTGACGCCACTTCTCAGCCAATTCGGCGCGCTGGGGGTCGTGAAGGCCCGCCCGAGCGATAGCGCCGACCCCCGCTCGGCTCGCGGCGAGAGCAGGACAGCCGGCGGTGCCAGCGTCTCGCGCACAGTACCGAAATCGGCTCTTGGCGACGCCGTGCCCGCGGCAGGCAGCGGCGACATGGGAGGCGGGGGCAGTACCGCGGGGTACGCCGGACCCGCCTCCACCGTCCTTGGAGCCACGCCCTCGGAGGGCAGCGGCGAGGGCCAGGTCGGTCGTTCTTCTATCGGTGGCGCAGCGACCGGATCGGACGCATCAGCTCGTGAGCGCGTCGCGGGCTCGGCCAAATTGGTGGTCGACTCTGTCCCGCCGCGGCGAGCGCGCTGCGGCTGAAACGCGGGAGTCGACCCGGGTAACGCCGGAGCCCTCCCGGGGCTCGACGGCGCACCGATCGGAAGCGCGTCAACGGGGGTGTTGCTGTGGTCCATGGTCGGTCGTGGGAAGAGTTGGGATAAAGGAATGTCGTCGTCTGGGGAAGGATTGGAGGATTGTTGGTGAAGTGTGGGGGAGTGCTGTGTTGGAGTTGGTGGTTCTGGGGGGTTCGCGTGGGAGGAGACAGAAGCCGCGCTATCCGAATCGGACGATATACCCGACTTATATACGGTCAGGTCGGTGAAGAGCCACGAGGCGTGCTCGTCCGCGCGAAGAGGCTTCCGTCCGGTCATCGCACGCACAGGTTGTGGAAGAGATCGAGGGGACCGCTGGGAAGGAAATGTGGTCGCCACGAGGATGTGGCGACAGATAAGGAAGGGGGTCTGTGGTACAACGACCGATCCGCGGTCGGTGTACAGTAGGAGCGGCCGCGCGCAGCGGGCACGGGGCACCGTGGCCCACGTGTAATACGCATGATTACCGAACGGGCGCAGCAAGTGACAGGTGTACGCCTGGGTACACGTGTAGTGTAAGGAACTGTGTGGGGATAATGCGCGCGCAGTGTAATGCAAGCGCGTAGTGTGAGGATTCGTGCGGTAGTGTAATGACGGCGCTAGATTTTCAATCGCATACAGCACCTGGTCCACAGTAAGTGACAGGTACTGTATTGGACAGGTGTCCCGGGCGTCCCTCTGAGGGGTTAAGACCTGGACACCGTCCTCGCAGTAAACCCGGGGGGCAGACTTGCCCCCCTCCCCTTCGCGCCTACCTACTACCGTTTCGGTATTCTCTCGCGCGTTGGCTTCTAACCCGTTACCGGTCGTCTCCGATCTAGCACCTCGGGACGACTGCGCGTAACCGGCCAGTGTGCCACTCCCTTTTCGCAAGTCCGACCGTTCGGTAACCGCGCGCCGCGCGTCTCGCGTCGCGAGCTCCCTCGGCTCATCCTCCGAGCCTCTCGCCCGCTAGGGTTTGAGGAGAGTTGTACCACAGAGAGGCCCTGTGCAACTCTTCTTGCAGATAAGACTTGTACGCACCAAACACTGATACATCAAGCGGCTGGCTTACATGGAATGTGTGCGCAGGCAACGCTAAAACTACAACGTTGTTATCGCCAAGCATCTTCAGGGATCGGTACTGGACGTGTGCCCTGTAACTATCCAGCACTAACAAGGTTCGCTGGTTGTTGTTCTGCCTCAAACATTCTGTCTCCGAAAGAAATCCTTGCGCCCAATCGTAAAATATAGCAGAATCTACTCCTGCAGGGTCTCGCTGATAGAGGTAGCATGGTGGGAGAACTGAATGCAGAGGCTGTTTCTGACCATTAACCTTCCGATAATGAGCAAGCTTCCAGGAATACACGAGGGCAGGTTTGTAAGCAACGCCAGCGGCCGAAACAACCGACATAATTGTAACGTGATCAAGGTTACCCTTTGTCTTCACGGACAGTTGAACCACCTTTTCCGCACCACTCTCAGTCACACCCTTACGTAGACTGCGACCCGCCATGCGGTAGAGCGAGGCTCGGGACTGGTCAGTGCTGAAAATAAATCTTGCTTCCTTGATATGATACCTGTCCATTGCCGATTGAACACGTGCTGGATATTCAGTGATGTTCTTCGATGAGACAGCATTCACACGTTTATCCTCGATGATTTGGACAGAAGTGCATTGAAGATTGTGACGAACCATAAAATCAGCTATCCAGCTGTCGGATGGCCTATTTTCGGTGAAATTGACTTGCTGTTGACGCGCAATTGATAGCATCTCAACATAATCTTGCACCAAGTCCCTCACACCAGAGCGAGAAAGCGGTGTGTTGTTTTCAGCATATTGTGTTATAGCATCTGTGATCACCTTCTCTTCTTCAAATTTCAGCGTGCAGGGTCGGCCTGGCGATCGACGAACAAAATGTATGTCATTCGATGATTGAGGCTGAGACTCAGGATATTCAGCACTCCAGAAATCGTAGGACCGGCGAATAATTTCACTGCCGACTCTGTACTTAGTGGCGAGCCTACCCCATGGTGTTGTGCTTTCAAATCTATCAAATATTGCCTCCTGCAGGCGGCGGTATTCATCAGCCATGGTGCTGCTAAAGATCCCAACGCAGATTATGAGATGCAGTTGCGGGAAAACATATAGGGCGAATCTGAAACACAGTCATGAGTCTACCGTTATAAAGTGCCCGCATTCTGATCGTTGAGTAAAAACGCGAGAATCAATTCGTGTTTCGGTGCAACAAGAGATATGGCGCTGGAACTCCAATGTTCCCGGGGCTCTGAATGTGAATGTGGGATTGCACTGTACCTTGAGGCTTGTCGAATTAGCAGAAATTTGTCGAATTAAAAGGGGAATGGTTACAGTAAATTTGGATTGTACGCGCGCACATTTTGACATTTGTGCGATACACATTTAACCTAGCATGGGGTCGCCCGTCCGAGAACGGCGCGTTGTGTGTGCACAACGCGCCGTTTGTGTGTCACAAAATCCCGATTTGGTCAACACAATTTAAATTGCCCTACCAAAAGAGCATTCCCCTGCTGTCGAAGGACTACGTTTCATTCCATGACATGCCACCGCTTTTGTACAAGATAGATGGTCGCGATCATCGCACGCAAAGCGATTATTCAGCCGTGTCGGCCTTGCCATTGACGTATATTTGGACATTGCCACGGCCCTTTGCCTTCCTCAGTCATTAGGCCCGCCCGAGAAACCTTCAGACAGCACTTGTTCAAGTTGGACCAAGCGCGGGACGAGGGTCCAAATACATATAGCGAAGAAATTGGTTGGGCGCCAACTACAAGGCCCTTCTCAGATTAATTTCTCAGTCTCATTTGTCCTCTATTTATCTCAATAGGTATGGTTCATAGGAACATTATCCTCAACGCCACGTTCGGTTCCATTGGAATCAGCAGATAATTTGCTAGCAATGAACAAAAGGGTTCGCTCATTGGGAATCGTTTGGACGCAGGAAAGATCATGTGATCTTGAAACTTGTCTCATCGGCAATAACGAAGAGTGAGTAGTGGGCCGATCTAAAACCACGTAGAAATGTAGAGATCTTTCGTCGGCCTCCAAACAACTTCATCGAAGGGGATTTAAGTACCTCAAACTAGGTTGCCACTTTGCGTCGACTGCGTCTGCACTTCAAGTTCAATGGGATTTGTCGATATACAGAATATTACATCATACCATGCGTCGTTGTTTTGAATATCATGCCTGCTCACGCAGTGAAGTCTACTGCGCGTACCCTGTGTAATTGCAATTAAATAACTGAGGCTTCCACATCTGGAAAGATGTGAATATGGCGTAAGTGCAAGAAAAGGGCGGTTGAAATCGTAGAATCCGTCTGGTAGGAGAAAAAGTGCTAGGCCATAGAGCTGTCAAGACTTTCTGAGGTGGCAATTTCGCATCACTCTCGTGAAAGCAGCTCGGACAACGCCGTCCTGAAGCCATCTAAAATCCCTGCAAGAAGTAGCGAAGTAAAGTGACCAGTGAAACCACTCCTTCCACACCCGATGAACCTATAACGTACATCCTTTGCACGCCCGTTCGCTCAAAGCGCTCAAAGACGGTGCCCAGCATGTCTTCCCTGGCACATGTCACTCCAACGAATGGCCTTCCTCGGCGAATATTTCGCAGCACATCCATAATAGAGTGCTGCAACGTATTTCCATCGCATCCACCGCTTGCTAGAAGTGCTGCATCTGCACGGCCGTACACCTCCACAAGTTGATTGCGCTCATTGACGACTGGGACGGCGAAAAGATCATGCTGTTGTAATATCTGCAAACCACGGAGAAGCGGTGTTGATGGGGGGATTGTGATCAAGTTGCGATAAGTGCCCAAATTGAGCTGGGAGAGCGTCAGAGTAAATAGCCGTGTGGCGTGTCTTGGGTCGGAGGCAGCGGAATTTGCAACACCCATTCCAAAACCATCCCTTGCAGTAAAATGGCGATGTAGAAAGCGCATGACACGCCAATGCTCCAATGCGTGCAATGGCATGTGCTCGTTTGAGAGGATTGGAAGATACAACACCTTTGAGTCACGCATAATGCGGACGGCGTCAAACAAAGTGCCTTCCGAAAGGGCGTATGTGAAAGGACGGGTTGCGCTAGAGTCATCGTGCGAATGGTCGCGGCTCTGTTGCGCATGCCAGCTCCGCACGGTGTAGTCGTCTAGCCCCTCCGACAGATCAGGCACCACACCTTCCGATGATCGCGAATAGTAGACTCCAAGGAGAGCATCTAAAATGTCGGAAACCGAGAGGGTACCACATAGCTCTTGCGAGGAGATATTGATAACCGGGGCCGCTTTGACACCTGTATTTTGATTGTAAAGGGATGGATGCAAGAGAGAAACATGAGTAAGTATTTCGGTTGCTCTATCGCCGATGGATTAGATAAACGATGCATGTCGTTTGCATGACGCACCATTTTCGACCAAAGCACGGAAAGCATGTTTCAACGTGAGGGTAGAGTCAATAAGGGCAACACGAGAAGCCTCTGGAATGATTTCTTCTGCTGTAGATTCTTTAAGAAACGCAACGACGGCACGACGGGCAAGGGAGACGGCTTGAGAGAAGTCGGGAGGTGGGGTTGGATCGTAGGGAGCGGTGGGATTTCTGGAAACGTCAGGGGTGGAGGTATTGAGGGAAGCTGGGGAGGGCGAAACGGGTGGGTTTTGAGGGGAAGGGTGTCGCTCTACATCCATATATAGCCCATGGGTTGCAGACTCGACATCCATGGCATCATCAGTCGCCATGGGCGGAAAGAAATGGAAATGCGGCCCCCTGCAGGCGGGGTTGGGGGTGTCGCTGTTGTTTGCGTCTATCACAAGAGGGGAGGGGTGACGGATGCGTAAGAAGCGGAAGAAAACGCTAGAGTTAGTGCATCGCGTAGAGGTGCATTCAGGCTGGCCTGACAGCGGCACTCCGGGGATGAGGAAGAGGGATGTGGTTGTTGTTGATGCGACATGCGTGCTGCCTGGTACCAGCAGTCCGAAATCAACGAAATCACCGAGAGGAAGTTTCCGCATGCGGTGCGGTGCGGTATGTGGTGCCCTCCGCAATCGTGGCCGAGTTGTGAGGAGAGGATATGAAAACACCCATCCATTTCGTGTTTCTGATTTATTCTCTTTATTCTTTTAATTTTATCCTATGACTCCATACAGTATACTGTATACAGCAAAGTACACAGTGTTCACGGTTTCATAACTCTTAACCTCTCAGTAAACCGAGTGATGTGCGCAGAGTCATGAAATTAATTTCACAGCACAGTACCAACGGTACAGTAAATTATGTACCAACGGTTCTGCACAATGCGGTACCCAAGGGTACTGGGCAGTGCTTAGCCGACACGCGTGCGTGTCCACATCGTACACGTGTTTTTCGTGGTACAAATTCAGATCTAGTGTCGAGCTAGACGACAAAGTGTCCTCATAGAGTATGAGGCTACTTTTCAACTTACTTCTTCTCGACTTGTGCTTGCTCAACAAGAAGAAAGAATATACTCTCGCCACCACAGTTGACTTCTGCGTTGCGAAAGGATGGAGTTTGGTGAGATCTGCACGTCTTTTCCAGCCATTTTTAGAATGCCGATTTGACCAACCTCAAAACGTTATATGTTGATATCTTCGAAACAAAAAAAAGCCTGTTTAAAATGTAAACCGGGTATTGAAACTTCATTAGAATTTTAGTCTTTCTGCTTATTGACAACTGCTATCTCAATGATTTGCAAGGTGTTATTGCCGAGGGCATGTACGTTAAAGAAATGGCGTCCAAACTGATTTTATAAAGTTTCGGTTTAATAAGGTTGTCTGTAAAATAACGCGCAATTTTTTTTCATTTGCCACGAAATCGCAGGACGTAAAGTAAACCCGTCTCGAGTTTATTGAAAATTCCGCCACGGGTTTTGCGGACTGACCTCCAGCAGGGTGCCTGCCCGCGACAAACGCAAGTCTGGTACATCGTTGTGCCGCCCGACAAATCACGTGCACCTGCGCGAATGCTCGCTGAAGCGAATATTGTAGCTCGCCACAGGGATAGAATGGTTCTCAGTTGAAAGAGCGATGTGTTTCGTCCTCTTGACATGCTGAGGGGTGCCATTTGTTGATGACCGCTTTTTACAAGCTTCAAATTGTCTATCTTTCGCGGTTGCTTCGGCGGCATCTGTGGCAGATCCTGTTGCGCTTTGATCCGTTGATGGACTCTGCGCTGCTGAAAAGAACGGAAAACCCACTTCGTTTTCCTTCAAGATGGGTCGATCCGGCACTGCTGTGATCAGGCGGATCGTGAAACTCGTGGAAAACTCACATGCCTCCAGTTTTCGGTACCGTATGATGTGCGTTTTGCCAAACGCGTTGTGAAATTTTCTTATTTAGAAAATATGAGCAAACACTCTGCCAAAACACGCATTTTCGTGACTTTCCGGACAACCTTAATGTATATATTTTTGCAAAAAAAGCTGGCCTCCAGAGGCAAGGCAGGAGGCAAATCGCCTGTCGTCGACACACTAGATATGGTGGCGGGTGTTGGCGGCTCGTAGTATCCGCGCGTTGCGCAGCGGTAGGGCGAACGAGGGGGAACGTTAGTCGCGAGAGAGGGATGTGGCGCGGCGAAGAAGGAAGGGCACAATGTCCCCCGGGGTGGTAGCCTGCTCCGGCTTCCCCGGTGTGTCGACCAATTCTGGTCGGCGCTATTTCAATAAAATTGTAGACCTAAATTATCCGTCGGCAGCGCCGGTCGCCGCCGGCGCTTTAGCCCGCACACGTGGCCTATTACCACGTGGCCCAACTACACTAGATGTGACTATGGTAGGCGGGAGTGCACAAGGATGTTAGTAGCACTGCTGGAATGCGGTCGCGCGTAGCGGCGGAGGATAACAGGGGAAGAGGGAGGCGAACGTTGGGTATTTTGCCGACGGGGAAAGATCGTCACGAGATGGTCCTCGAGAGGATTGGCCGGCGAGAGGAGAATAGGTAGCGGATACCCCCGGGGAATCAGATGGACCCCGGACTTGAGCCCTCTATTTATTCGCCGCCGCACCAGCGGCGACCACAGTACAGCCACATTAAATTTAGATGTTTTTCGGGGGCTACCCGCCGTCGGCAGACTGTCCCCTCCAACACACCCCCTGTTGGCCCGAGAAACAACTGTGATTTTCGCTGCCGCCACGCTGACTTCCGGCGCGCCGACGGCGGCGGGCGTACGTAATGTCGATGTGGGCGACTTTTGCATCTAACTGCGAGCTCAGCGCGGGATTTCGTATATACCATCGGTGCTGAAATCTCCTTCTATGCCTCCACATCCCGTTCTATCCAAATTATCCACCTCATTGCCCATTTTCCACAACCTCTCTCTTATATCCCTCATCTATTTCGATCCCTCGCTTGACAACCCTTCAGCGTGCGCGAGCATCATTGCAGACCCTCGTGTCGCCCTTGAACCTACAGAGCGCCGGAAGGCCCGGGATCGGGCGGCACATTCGGGTCAGCGATGAAGCTCGTCGTTCGCATGCCGGGTTCGCGGAGGAGGGTCGAAGCCGATGCTATCACGTTCATGGGCACAAAGTGGAAGTCCACGGAGGTTCGCGTGCGCTACGGATTGGAGGAGTCGCACATGAGCGTGCAGATGTTCGAGTTGGCTCTGTCGGTGAGTCCGAGCAGGATTTCAGATCTTGTCCAGTGGCTGCGTTCTCACGTAGACCATGAGTTCGCTGTCGGTTTGCTGGGACGTTAGGGACTGCTTGCTAGTGGGAAGACGGAGCACGGAGACCGGAGGTGGGATGTTAAGAGGCTTGTCTGGAGTTCGGGAAACCGGGAAGGATTCCAACGCAATAAGTTCTATGCCTCGCATAGAACTTCAGGGGGGAGGAGGACGTTCTGGCATATGGATTTTTGGACGTTGGAGGCTCAAGACGTTTTCTTGGGAGGAGAACTGGGCAGCCCGATAGGCAGCGAAATCGAGGAAGCCCCATCTGGATCGCATTCTCCGTCTTTGTCGTTGGTGTTTAGCAAGGAGAAAAGGCTCGAGTACATGTTATGGCTTGACACTTTCTGTAGAGAGAATCCAGATGCGTTTGTTTGCCTTGGTGGTCCCGGGATGCGGACTTTTTCTACAGCAACCATACAGTATCGAATGTCTGGGGTTCCAGTCTTCTGCCATTCGAGGAGCGGAGAATGCGTCAGGGCTTCGATCGCCAATGCCCTTCACGCCGCAGGCCACGACGATTCAGCTGAAGCAGTGTTGCTGAGAGGCAAGATTGTGGTGCGTAGTCTCGGAGAAGCACAGAAGTGGCTTGAAAGGAACCTGGGGAGATTCAGACTTTGTAAGGTTCAACATTCGATGCTGAAAAGCACTGATAAATGGTTGGAAGAGAGCAGAGAAGGAATCTTCCTTGTTCGGCTGAAAGGTTCGGATAGTGAAGATGCGGGGATTGATCATGTTGTGGCAGTAGACGCCAACCGGTCTATTGTCCTAGACTGCGTAGAGAAGCTCGTCTTGAGGCTTCAACCTGGAGTTCTGGCTGCCTGTGTTGGAGACCGGAACCATTTCGACGAAGTTGCCGAGGTAAGGAGATTGGAAGTCCAGAAATCCGGCAAAGGGAAAAACAACCGCCGCAAGTCCAGACCGAAGCGTCGCGAAGAGAAGAAAAGGGAAGTGGAACGTGTTGTACGAAAGGTATGTAGAAGGAAGAAGAGGGCTATTGAGTGTGAAGACGAAGAATAAATATCCAATTCTCACGTAGATGGATTGTCCTTCGACATACGTCGGGCATTGCGTACAGCTCTTCGTGTACAACTCCACCCTTCATCAACGTGTTCAAGAGGCGAAACATGACGACGTTTCGCTTAGTTAATGCGTCTGCTGGATTCTGCTGTCCACCAATCCACTGCATGACGGCGATTTCTTCATTTTCAAATGAGTCTCTCAACCTCGCCACCGTTGGACGAAGGCGATAATCGGCACCTTCGTGTAATGTGGTGATGGTTGAGTAGAGCCCTCGCGAATCCACTGTTAAGACAAATGGCAGGCATTTTGTAGCACCATTGAGGATGCTTATGCTCTGAGCCATGAGTGATCCTCGATCTGCCGAAGATGCTGCAGCCAGGATCTCTGCGCCCATTGATGAAAACGCGACACGCTTTTGCTTGCAGCTGAGCCAGTCTAGAGTATGAAATACATTCGCACCCCCTGCGGGCAGGAAAATCCCTGAGATGTATCCTGTCTGCCCATATGACGATGTACCTTGACTGGCGTCAGAGAAGGCCAAATAGCAAGGTTGTTCGAGAGATTTGGGGCTTTTGAAGGTCAGAGTTGGCGCAAGTGTTTTCAGTTCGGAAAGTAGCTGGTTGGCGACGATCAGGTTCGAAACTTTGAGACGTCCGACGGCCTGTTGAAGATAGCTTGCTGCGAAGGCAGCTTGCGGAAGGATTCCATGACCTAGGAAGTTTAAGCTACCAGCTAAACCTTGATAAGCGGTAAGCTCTTCGATAGCGGCTCTGTATGAGCTCTGGCGCCTGCGTTCCCTTGTCAATGGCAGAGGATTGATACTGTCAACATATTCCTGCATGCCAAGGACGAGCGACCCATCTCCACATTTGTGAATGTGAAGCCTGTTGAAGACTAAGTCTTTGTTCATCACGAAACTCCCGACGACAAATCGTTGAGAGATCGAATCATGAAACTGCTGAATATGGCGTGCACAGCCGGCGATAAGGAAGTCATCGACGACTTTGGCCACCAATACCTCGATAGTTCCTCTGTTGGAGTAACGGACAAATAGCTGCAGGAGACCAGGTATTGGGAGGAACCCATTACTGGAGAGCCAGTCCTCGGCAACTAGTTGCCATAATCGTCCAGACTCCACTATGCCGTAAGCGGGCTTGAGAAGTTTCCATAGCATTTGTGGAGATGGCTCAGCCTCAAGGTGGACGAACGTATATATCGCGAGGGAGATTTCCTGCCTGAAGGTAAGCACCCTTTATGTCGATGGAGGCGACCGATAGGGACAGAATGGTTGCCAAGGAGAGAAGCAGGCGGATGATCGGAAATTGGGCTGTTGCGGAGTCTTTTCGCACAGAGTCTTTCTCTCTGTCCCGGTTTCCATGAGGAACCAAGCGGCATTTCAGACGGAGCCGTCCTTCCTCTGCATGGTTCTTGATCTGGAAGAAGTGATGCGAGGTGATCACGTTTGCACCTTTTGGAATTTCTCTAAAATGTAACTCCTTGTACGCTCCTGCGTCCTGGTAGTTACTCTTTTCGTCAGCAATAGCTTTGTCTATGATCCACCGAGGCGCGAACTGGAGCTTGAACTCAGAGACTGGACCGTCTTCGATAACTCGCTTCATGTCATGGAGCACCACTTGCTCCGACGATTGCAAGGAATGAGGAAGTTGAGGTGGAGACACTAGCGCAGTATCACCAATGTCTTTTTCCGGTTCTGGTGGTTCATGTGTGCGGGTAATGTTGACTTGAGAGTTTTCCTTGGATGTTAGATATTTTGTACCAAACAATGCATTGCAGCGCTCTACTGCGTACAGACTGACGTCCTGAAGCGGTTTGTTACTGCGATGGGGCTTTTTAACTGAAGACCCCGTGGGGGAAGGCGAGTGTGCAACCCAGTTAGACCATTCCTTGTCAATATCCAGATGGTCATTGCCTGCTCCTGGAGCGGGAATGTCCGGAAGCAACTGCGATTGGCAGGACTTCCGTGTTGTCAATGAAGGGGTGCTATTTGAGGCATTATTCGCAAGTTCTGGATATATTTCCGGTAGATCAGCAGTGATAGGTATTTCACTATCCTCATAATCCTCGTCAACCACCGAATATGACCTGGGGAAGATGAAGTCAATGCGGTCGAGCTCTTGAAGAAGAGGGGAGCTCGGGGCCTTCCGTATATCTTCATAGGCGGCCCGGATGGGCTTTCCGGCATGATCTTGCTTTCTGGAAAGAACTGCGAAGTGAGGATGGCAGTCTCGAATGTACGCGCTTTCCCAGAGACCAAATTTCGCGCTGCGTTTGAAGAAATAGACTGCGTCATTCTTCGTCAGATCTTCAGCCGTTAGTGTAACAGGCACGCGTGACTTTTGGAACAGGCTGAGAGCTCTCCTGGCCATCTGCTCATTGTAGGCGAGAAGGAGTTTGGAAGGAACCTTGGCTTGAGGAAGACTAACAAGGGCGGGGGTGTAACCGCGGGCGAGCTCAAAGCTGCTCATCGACCGACTTCCGTACAGGATGTTGCTGAGATAAACTGCTCGTGAGAGTATATCCTCTTGCTCCGGCTTCCTATCTCGACTTGGATCGAAGTAGTCAGCGTCCTTGAGGAGCCGCTGGATAAGTGTGCGAACGACAGAGTTCTTCCGTTCAACGACCCCCAGCTTATTGTGACGGCGGGCCGGTCTTGGTTGGAATTGAATGTTGCAGTACCTTAAGGCTTCCGCGAACCTCGAGTTAAAGAACTCAGGGTCTGCCGACACGACTGCGGGGGAGCCATGGAGATTGATCCAATTAACTTCCAAAGCGCGTGCAGAAAGGGTCATGTCCCTGGACGGCATGAGGTGAGCGGCGGAGAGGCCAGTATGAACATCGACGATGTGAAGGATTGGGATATTGTCAAACTCTTTCGCGAAGAAGAAGTCGAGCTGGACGTGTTTGTTGAACGATCCCAATATCCTTGAAAATGATATTTTTCTGGAGTTTGCCGGTCTTCCAGTTTGCTTACAACTTGAACAGCGGCTAGCTGCTTTCGGAAGCGCTTGTTCAAGCACTGGCGTCAATACGTCACCACGCTGGCAAAGCGTCTTCATATCTTCGAAAGATAAATGCGAGTACCCATGAAGCTTGGAGGCAAATCTGCCCGCGATTTTGCCATAGGTAAATCGTTTCTTCATGTAGTCTGTTCTGCTCTCAGTTGATGATGCGAAGGAAGACACAGACGTGAAGAAAGTTCGAAAGGATGAAGTTTTCGAAGGGACAACCAAGAGATACGTCCTGACAGCATCCCGATCGGACGAAGAAGTGGGCTCAATGTATGTTTGAAAGCACAGTTCCTTCGCTGACAGGCTTCGGACATTTGCGGGAATAACTAGGAGGTTCTTGGGTCCGAGTTGATATGACTGATGGAGGATTTCATTTCCTACGAGCAGCATTCCATTTCCTTTTGTCACATAGAATGGAACTCGGACATGGATGCCGGACAAATCGATGAGGGGTAGATCCCAGACTCCTATGGTGAGTTGAGCGTCGCTACAGTTCTCGCCGTAACCATGAAGAAAAGGCTCACAGTCGAGCGGTCGGAGATGCAATGGCATATCCAGTGCCGTGCAGAGTGCTGCAACTGAAATGATGCCACCTATGCTTCGTGGACATCCCGGATCAATAATGGGATTAGGGTCCATGAAGGCAGGTTGTACATCTGAGGGGGCTCCGGGTTGCGAAATTAGGCTGATCTGCCTTGACCCATCCCGGAGCCTTTCCGAAAAAAACCTGGTCCGTTTGATCCAGTAGGAGGGCGGTCGGCGGTATTCTCCGACTGGCGAAGCTTCTTCTTTCGAGTGAAAGCACTTGGCTCTCTACAAATATCGTCGCCACGATAGTGACCAGTCTCACCGCAGTCGTAACAAGTAGCGCTGTTGCCTTGAGCTCCATTCCAAGACCGCTTCTGTCTGTTGTGAAGAGAGCTCCCGTTTCCTTTCTTGGATCCGTGTTGATAGGGGGGCCTCCTGATGTCCTTGACGGGTTGATGCCACCCAAACGAGACAACACTGGTGCCGTAGAGGTATTGGACTGCGAGGTAAGGAAGGATCTGACTTTTCTGTCAACCATGGCCTGAACATCCTTCATTGAAAACTGGGGGGAGTCCATAGTCGACGTTTGGGTCAAATTGCGGAGGACGATAACCGCATCGTCTAAATGTAGACGGCAAGACTTGTTCTGAGACAAGAAACGATCGGCAACACTTGTTCTGACCGAAGCGGCTTGGGTGTTGACCTTCATCTGCTTCACGACCTTGTTCAGTTGGCGGCAAATGCTGACGTTCTTCGAGCGGTAGTCCATGAGTGCTTTCTTAAAGTCTGCAGACGACATGTTGGATTCACGAATTGGAGCATCAAGACTATGAAGCTGGTCGTTCAGCTTTTGATGTTCCAACAGACCTTCCTTAGGAACTGACTCGATAGAAGCAGCATCTTTTTTCTTCTCCTTGGAACGTGCTTCGGCGTGCGAAATTAGCTGGAGCTTTGCGTTTGTCAGTGTTCTGTCCTCCAGATTGGCATTATTGAGCAAAGTTATGGCTAAAACTTCCCCTATTTGGGACGAGGAGGATGCATGGGAGTGTAAAAGATGCTTCGCAGCGAGGCCCCGAAATCTTGATACGAAGGTAGAGAGCTTTTCACTTCGATCTCTCCTACAGGAAGTCACCTTTTGGTATGAGGATATAAGCCGGGTGACCATTGAGATGGGAGGATCTACAGCCACAAGTTTGACAATTTGTAAAGCTGCTTCAACTGGATCTTCCATCTGCAAGTAGTCCACTTGCCCTTTCGATTGAGCTTCATCAACGATGGCTTTTTGCGCATCGGGAAGACCGCGATCGTAGAGTGTTCGCCCCAAGAGCTTGAAGATAGTTTGGAAGGTCCTATCAGTGCCTTCGTCATGCGCAACTTTGAGAGAGTCCGCCCATTGACCAACTCTCTTGCGCCATGACTCTAGGTCCCCATCCGGTGAGAAGACAGGTGGATCGAAGAAACCGGATAATTTTCTTGACTTTCCTCCTGGGCCCATAACTATGGTAGGCGGGAGTGCACAAGGATGTTAGTAGCACTGCTGGAATGCGGTCGCGCGTAGCGGCGGAGGATAACAGGGGAAGAGGGAGGCGAACGTTGGGTATTTCGCCGACGGGGAAAGATCGTCACGGGATGGTCCTCGAGAGGATTGGCCGGCGAGAGGAGAATGGGTAGCGGATACCCCCGGGGAATCAGATGGACCCCGGACTTGAGCCCTCTATTTATTCGCCGCCGCGCCAGCGGCGACCACAGTACAGCCACATTAAATTTAGATGTTTTTCGGGGCTACCCGCCGTCGGCAGACTGTCCCCTCCAAGAGTGACACCATCTGCCGCTATCTTCACGTCCTCCGCAGGCAACCCCCGGATCCCCTCGGCCATGAGCCTCCCGCTGTGATCTTTTTGGAACTGCAAACACGGGCTTATGAGCGACAGCTCAACCGACTGAGCTCCTGCAGCTCGGCCCTACACAGAATTTCTTTCCATCATCATTTACTACGCTTTTCTAAATTATCACCGCTGCGACCATGGGATCTCTTGCATCAGCACTGCAATCTATTGTGAGAACGCCCTTGACCCCTCACTCACTCAGGACCTTTCCCGCTTTACATCAAATCTTCCTCCAGCCCAATCGATGCTTCTCCGCTTCTCTTCACCAGAAAAAGCGCGTTTTAGGAGCCATAGCCCACATCAATTCTGGGAAAACAACCACGTCGGAAGCCATGCTGTACACCGCCGGTGCCTTACGTCGCATGGGCAACGTTGACGTCGGTGATACCACATTGGACTACCTTCCCGATGAACGAGAACGCGGAATCACTATTAATGCAGCTGCTGTCTCGTTCAACTGGAAGGATCACCAAATCTTTCTGGTCGACTCCCCGGGACATCTCGACTTTACCTTTGAGGTTGAAAGGGCTCTCAAGGTCATGGATAGCGTAATCGTTCTCTTGGATGCCGTATCTGGTGTACAGCCGCAAACTGAGACTGTTTGGCGTCAGGCAGATTCAAACGCCTTGCCAAGAGTCGTATTTGTAAACAAAATGGACAGAGACGGCGCAGACTTTGAAAAATCTGTCTCATCAATATCCCAGTGTTTTGTGTCCACGCCATGCGTTATCCAATACCCCATATTCCACCAACGGTCAAAAAAGTTTGACGGCGTCTTTGATCTCTTAACTCTCTTTGATTATGTGCCCGGACAGAATGGCTTGATCTTTAAGAACCCTTCGGGTGATGACGTTGTTGCTTCTCTTACCGATCTCAGTCCAGAACAACAAGTGAGCATTCAAAAAGCTGCAAACACATTAGTTGAAACTGTAGCCGATGTCAACGATCAAGTCATGTCACTATGGTTGGATGAAAGCCCAATTCCCCGAGAAGTTATGACATCAGCTGTGCGCCAGGCCTGCATTCATGGAAAGTTGGTCCCTGTCCTGTTCGGATCCTCACTCCGGGGCATAGGCGTAGAGCCATTGCTCGATGCAGTCGTTAATTACCTCCCTTCACCAGCTGAAAGATCTCCAGTGAAGGCAAGATCGAAGCATGGGGATGAAGTTGTCATCCCCATGTCGGAAAAGTCGCCGTTCTTAGCATACGCATTCAAAGTTTCACATGACAAACATCGTGGGAGACTAGTTCATTTCCGGGCCTTTTGTGGTGACTTAAAGCACTTTCGCGGACCTTTTCTGAATACCACAAAAGGGAAGAAAGAGACGCCAACAAAAATTTTGCGAGTCCTTGCTGATAAATACGAGGAAATCCAGATCATTTCACCCGGGGACATATTTGCAGCGGTAAGCAAATCCACGGCAGCCGCAGACCCGCGACTATACCCCCTGTGAGCCCATCCATGATACTAACTTGTCTCTTCTTCCTCTACCTTGATGGGATCGTAATGGCTTCGTATGACGTTTCAGGTTGGTCTCAAGCAAACAGAGACCGGAGACACTTTGGTTCTCATGCGAGATCCGCCCTCATCACAAGTCATTCTGAGTGGAGTGAAGGCTCCTCCTCCAGTCTTCTCAGTCGCTTTGGAAGTGGAAGGGGCCGTCCAAGAGCGGGAGCTAGAAGGCCTTTTGGCGCGCATTGTCCAGGAAGACTGCTCCATGGAACAGACTGTTGATAACGAAACGGGAGAAACATTGCTGTCCGGAATGGGAGAGCTCCACCTTGAAGTAGCTGTTGGCAGACTATCTCGCAGCCTTGGTTTCCCTGTTCGCATGTCCCGACCACGCGTTTCATACCGCGAGACGATCACAGAATCAGTGGAAAGCGTAGAAGTTTACGATTGCACCATCGGATCGAGTAGATTTCAGGCTACGCTCAGAGTGAAGATCGAACCACACGCACCTAAGTCAAGTCATTGTGCTAATCTGATTGATATTTCGGACGAGTTTTTCAGCTTGGCCGAACGGGAAGCTATCGCAGACGGTGTGAATGCTGCTCTCGGCAGGGGCCCTTTGCTTGGATCTTCGGTGACAAATTTGAAAGTCTCAGTGTTCTCAGCTACTGATGCTGCAGCCGACACAGGGGCAAGAAACAACTTCACAGCCCTTCGTGGTTGTGCACGAAAAGCAATTCAGAGTGTGATACGGAATGCTACACCGAGAGTGCTTGAACCAGTCATGAGAGTGCATCTTGTGGTTCCAACCAATAGTGCGGGCGACATTATCTCCGAGATTTCCCACCCAACGAAACGAAGAGGGACAATTGATGTTGTAGATGTTATGCCCGGAGAGAGTGGTTCTGCTAAGAGTCAATTAAGTGCAATTGAAGC